TCAGAGTCCCTAATGATCTCATTATGTTGATATTGCAACAGATTACAATTGGATGGCTGGGAGAGGGCAAAGGGGAGTGTAAAGCACTCCCTGCACATTGGGAGTGAAGCAAGCAGCAGCGCTGCCTCGTCAACACTGTGCTTACCTCAGAAGTCATCCTTCCCATACCAACACCAATTCTGTTCTTTGTCAGATCAGTTTCCAGTACATCAGAAGCATAAAATGTTACCAAAAGTTGTTGCCACCTCCAGTAGCACTTGCTATCTCCAGCTGACCTTGGTCTCAATAATGGCTGCAGAGCAAGTGAATTCAACTCAGTCTGATGAGTAGCAGCTGTTATACAGCTTTAGGTACCAGATTTACTAGTTTTCCTCCTCTAGCTGATAGAGCTGAACACTGAAAGGGCCAGCCTATAGCTAGAAGTCCCCCAAATCTTCTGTTTCTTATGTAACAGTCTTTTAGGGAGAAAGAAAGCTTTAAATGTAAAATCAATCTGTTCTTTCTCTTTTATTTTCAGTCAGTTTTCAGTCCATGTACATGAAGTGATGCATATGCATGTACCTCTCCAGCGAGATCTTTTTTCCTAGAACTTTGCAATGAAAATCTGTGAAACCTCTTTCCAACCTTTATCAGGTTTTCAGTGTATCAGGCAAGGCGAAAAACAATAGTAAGACCAAAAATCATATGCAGATGGTTTGTTCCCCATAGCTCATGTCTTCCAACCTCATTGGTTGCATTTTCACATAAGTCTAGAGATACATCTGCCAGCTATTTTAAAGCTTCTGTACCATTTTACTTAGGAGACAGAACCAGACATTAGAATTTTTCGTGACAGTTCTCAAGCACAAAAAATATACGAACAAAGATTTCAAAACATAGGTACAAAAGGAGAGATGGGAAACATACAATCATGCCTGCCACCTAATAAGTTCTTCTAATCACCGTATTTTATTATCTTCAAGGACAAATCTTCAAAGTGCTTTTGTTGCTGCAGGAGATAGAATGCATATGGGCTGCTGCTTTGTTTTTTCCAAGAATCCTGAAAGTTGATCTGTTTTGATAGTAAATGAAGTTGTCTACAGGTTTGTGAAACTTGTGGTTTGATTAGATTTTAGAGGTTCTCTGAGCTGTTTAATGTATTAATATTAGGCTATTTTTAAAAGAGTATTTTTTAAATAAATCTGTCATATTCCACGTTGTTTTCTAAAGATTTCATATACATATATCTGTACTTAAATACATTTGGAATCTTGTATAAAGGACTAATCCAGAATTTTTGGCAAAGTCTCTATTCAGGTGGAAAATGCCAGAGATGATTTTGTGTTGAACAACCCAAATACATGCCAGTGAAATCTCTATCTCATAATGTACCATTATGTATTTTGTTCTAAACTTATTTATAGGAAATATCTCAGAATTTGGCAAAATTTCTGGGTTTTTAAAATTATGTTGTTTTTCATATGCCTCCAGTCTCCCACATGCAGAGTCATTTTTCCTTCGTTCTTGAACCCAACTGTTCTGTGAAACTACTGCCTTCTTACTCAGGATATTGGCTTCCTGTCTGTGCTTACAGAGAAGAAGATTATGATCTTGAGAGTTGTGCAGAACCACAAATCTGGGAGGTGCAGGGTTTGAGATATACTCTTTCCTACTTGGAACTTCAGAAGCAGGATCTTTCCAACTCATAAGACTGTTATGCATTAATAAGACAGGAATTTCAACAGCTGAAGTGAATGAAATCTGAATCTGTCCTAGAATAAGCAGTTTTGATATATTCTTATGACTTTAATTCTGAGACATTTTCCTTTTAACTTTTTCTATAGACTTAAGAAACTACAATATCACAAAGTCTCATGTTTTCTGTAGAAAAACATAATAAGCCTAACAGAGATTGCTGTCCCATATTTCCTGTTATAAGAACCTGTTTTGCATGTAAGCATATTGAAGTTAAATTTCTGGACTCAAATTCTCTAGATGTCTACTAGGATTTCTTTTTTTTGGCAAAAGTTTCAGCTAATGTAGATCAACTATTTTTAACAATGAAATAACGTGAAAAGACAGTCTTGCATTCATATTAATTTTAATTACATTTACCATGTCATCTCTACAAAGTTAATTGAGATTACATTTGGCCCAGTTTATAATAGATGGAAGCTAAGAGCAGGGAGAGAATTTCTCCTCTTTTTTCTACTCTGCTGCGAAAGGAAGTTAATATTCCTTCACTCTCAATGTAGGAGCCTATGGAAGGAGACTGGAAGAGCACAAGAGGAGTAGTCAGGTAAAAAGATAATCAGGGACTAGGATTAAGGGGAGAATGGGAGCAGATACAAGGGAGACAGGACTGTTGGGGACTTACTGTTTCTTTCTCTTCACGGGTATTTCTGCAGACCAAACAACAGCTTTCTAATACTATGAGTTTATTCCTTTGTGTTAACCAATGGTGGATTATACTGAGTATCTACATTTTCCTGTTTGCTTTTGTGGAAAGATGAAAAGTTAGTTTAGTTCCATGGCAGGCAACAATAAAGTCAGTTTTACAGGAGGGATGAGTATCTGCTACTGTTGACACTTAATGTTGACACAGCAAAAGCTCCAAAACCTGAGCACATTAAAAGACCAGGTTGTTGCCCTATTAAACTAGGAACAATGAGGCAACATGAATTCCAGGCTTTACTGAGTTTTAAATACTTGATTTTGTAACCTTGACATAGCTTTAAAAAATACATTAAATTATATATAAGGAAAAAATAGCAAAGAATTAATAAAGTAATGCTTTTTTTTCTTGGCAGCAGCTATGTGCAAATTGACAGGATTTTTCCTGTGCCTGCTAGTTTAATTGAGTTTTAAACATTGCAGTATTTGAAGTTGGGTGCCAAGGTTACTGACACCAGTAAACAGTGATGAGTACACCATGATTGTGTGTAAACATCATGCAATGATGAAAGGTGAAATCTGAAAAACGGTGAAGTGAAATGAAATGAAAGCTGCAAGCAAAATAGCTGCATTTATTAAAATGAATGAAAATGTGTAGCCTTTGTTTTGGACTGGATTCTCAGTTTCCTTAAATCCATTTATGCTAGCTATTTCCAGTATCTGGAGAATCTAGCCCAAAATGGAAGGCTTTTTTCATGAGTTCTTCCTCTAAGTTTACAGCCTCCTTTATGTTATTTAAAAGAGAAAGGCAGAAAGGGGAAATTATATTTTGTATGTGTTTACTAGGGAGATGAAGGGCATATTAACCCCTCCTCATCACTATCACTATTTGCACAGTCTGTGCTGCATGCACTCTCATCGTGTGATCTGCTTAAACCAGCATGATTGCACAGCTTCTCCCTTTAGAACAGGTCTCTGCCTGCCCTGTTCTGAATGCTGTATGAAGATTCTTTCAGGGTATGATCTGCAGACTCCTAGTCTTAAATCATACCACTTACTGTGAAATACAATTTTAAATATAGTAGCTTTGCAAGGTTTCCATGACTGCCTTAAAAAGACATCTCCCAGATTTTTCAGGGTACTCTGCGGAGCAGCACTTGAGAGTCCTCAGAAGTACCCCTGTAAACTAATCAGTCCATCTGAAAAGAGTGAAGATTTAGCAGCTGAACAGGGTGAAGTATTGCATATTCCAGTGTGCTTTTTGAAAGAAAATTCATGTTGCTTTGGAACAGGAGATTTGATATTCAGAAAGAATTTATATCCTTTATTAGAGCCCTGACTCAGCAAAGTATTTAAGCATGTTCTGTTATGCCCCTATTAGCTTTTCATTTTGCTGCTTCTTAAGAGCTGTAGTGAGTCAGAAGCAGCAAGCCAAATGGAAAGGGAGAGATGTTTTCATGGATTTGCTCACATAAAACCTATTTCATGATGAATTAAATTAGTACGAATAATAAGAATTTTTGCTTCTAGCAAAATAGTGTCATGAGACTCCAACAGGGCTAAGAGATCAATACAGATCATCTGTTTTTTGCAGGTTTTGTTTTCAACTATAATAGTTAGAAAATTTTTAAAAATAAAATATACATAAAAAAAAAAAAAAAGCTGAGGTTTTAGCTGAAATGAAGAGGTCAGAAAAGGAGTCCAAGATTGCTAGCCTACTTTAAATTATTCTGATCTGATCTCTTGCTGGAATTCCCCTTTTGGGCTACTGCTTTGCCTCCTATGATTCCAAATAGTAACTGCCAGCTCATCAAGTGTATCTTAACCTTCAAATGCTGAACTTACTCTGGGTAATGTCAGACTCCCTGAATGTAAGAATTGTATTATCCTATTTCTGTAGCTCTAGGTCCTCTCCTACTGCTAGCAATTCGTAAGAAATGGTTCAATTATGTAGGCTTATTTTATGAACTTTTGTGAGCAATTATTTAGTGTATTATTTGAACAGATGGTCTTTTTCAGCTATTTGCATGTTAGGAATTATTTGACCTGCCCACAAGCAGGGAGATAAGAGCAGTGACAAGTAGTTAGGATTGTACTGGTACAGTTAAATTTAGGGGGATGGGGACTGTGTGGGGTCTGTTGATACCACTCACTTTCTTCATCGTTTTATTAACAAGGAACTAAATAATTTTATTCTCATCCACTCTGTTCATCTTATTCTGTTTTAAATTTTTTTCAATCTAGAGAAAAATGAACATCATGTATAGCTGAGTGAGGTAGGAGGTGAATTGAAAAATTGAGAGCTTCTGAATATTTCTGTAGTCATGTCCTTGATGCCAGTCAAATGAAAGAAGGTTCACATCTGGTATTTGGCTTGAGTGAGAGCTACAATTTCTCCACTGGCAGTGCTGCCAGCAGTATAGTAATTGTCCATGGTTTCAAGCACCTTCCACCATATTTTGTCATCGTGAAAATGAATGCAATCATCAGTAATTTATTATTCTTGTCAGATGCTATAAATTAAGCAAAGTATTATCTTTTAAATGCAACAGAAGGGCTTGTTTCAGGCTATTGAAGGCATCTGTTATTTTTTCATTTTTATTACACTATTTTTTTCCAATTTTTAGGGAAGCAACGTGATGGAGGACCAGGATCTCTTGGAAATAGGAATCCTTAATTCTGGGCACAGACAGAGAATACTCCAAGCAATCCAGCTTCTCCCAAAGGTATAGTTTCTGTTATTATCCAGACAAGGGAACTAACTTAACATTATTTAAAACATTTTTTTTAATGGAAATAAACATAACTCTCTACTGATTTTGTAGACATGTTTTTTGCATATGCAACCATGGCATAAAATAATGTCATTACATTGGACTCCCTTTATATAGATTGACAAAGCAAAGGAAAGTAAAATCTGTAATTTGAAGTGATGCTGTTTCAGCTTTATTTTAATTATTTTTGGTTTTACAGCCTGTTGATAGACTGTCATTACATATGTATAAATAAGGCTGTTCATAAATCCTAGACTGTTTGTCTCTTACATAGCAGTTGCCCTGGAAATATTTTACCCTTCATATAAGTATTCTTAAAAACGTTGGATGAAAAATTGTTTTCCTAATACCTGCCTTTTATGTTAGATGCAGAGATTTCCTTCAGGTTTCATATTTGATTTGTTGCAATGTATATGAATTTTGCTTCTCAGCTGTGGACAGAATAACTTGCAATCATTTTTCCGATCATTTTTTGTGCTAGCCAATTTAAACTGTAGATTTTAAAATCGACAGTAGAAAGAGATTGCTCTTATATTCTGCTTACCAGAATATATCAGTGGAGGCTTCTACTACCATTCCAAACAAGAGAGACAGTGGACCTAGCATAAAATACCATCATTTTAATTAGGAAAGCTGTATAAGGAGAATGAATGAGGAGTAGCAGAGACCAGTAAGGCTCAGAAGGCTGCCACATATGATAGGGATACTTTGTACAAAATACTGGGACCAGAATAAAAACAACTCTAAAGTGCATTGAGAGTTCTGGTAGCAGCATGTGTAAAATAACTGAGATAAAGATTAGTCCACTTGCAGCTTCATATGGCTGGAGAATGAGAAGAGTTATTAAAGGACTTTTGAGTCTAGAGCATGAAGCTGATGTTGCTGGAAGAGGCTTTTTGAGGCATCAAGGCTTACTGGATGGATGACTTGTAAAAGAGAACAAGGGTTTATTTTGTATGGTAAAATCAGAAGTTGCTAAACAATATCTTTATCTGAAGGTGCTAGTCAATCCATACATATTACAATATGAGTCTAGGCACTGAAACAAGAAAAATCATTAAAGATAATAATTTTCCACATACAATATTAGACAAATGAGATAAAGGGTACAATTAATAGAGTATATAAAAGTAGCATTGGATGAATTACAATTGACATTAAAGATTTAACTGTGAATTTTTTAATTTTTCAGCAATGCTATCATTCAAACAAAATTTTTGTAATCTTAATCCAAGCTCGTAGGTGATGATATACTTAATCCATTTTTCATACTTCTTAGAGAGATCAACTTTCATATATTCTTGTTTACATTTTTCAAAATTAATAAATAGATTATTAATACATCAGCATCTTAGTGCTATCTGCACTCGGTGGCTGGTGTTTATGAAAATATTGTTAATATTGTCTGCTTTTGGAGATTTCACTAATGCTGAGACCAGATTTTGTTGTAAAACTACAACTGAGGTATTTTTAAAGTTTTTTTAATGTGAGAAAGGACATAATCAAGATTTAGAGGTACTCTTGAAACCAGTTTAGAACAAGATGGTTATGCAGTTACTTGGAAGAATTCTGGATGGCTTGAAGCATGGGCTGAATAATGGTGAGGTAGTTTTCGGCATCTTCCCTGTTGAGCTAAAAAACCCCAGTCCTTAAGAACCATGTTTTTAACATGTCTTTGATGCCAAGTTGTTACACCAAAACAAAGGCAGTCAAAAGCTGAAGCTGTGCGTCACATTTCTTCACTGAAATGACTCAGCAACGTAAAAGAGCTTACATAGTAAAAATACATAATTTCTTATACAAAAGTGAGTTCTTTTGAAGGCACAACTGTCAGAATAGTTATTGTAAAGTAAGACATGCAGGTATCCCCAGAAATGCCAAGGCAGTGGAAAGAATTCAGAAAGTTTATTTAGAAGTCCAGAAACTTACAAAATACCTGACGGTGCAGTTTCTGCACTGGGCCTCAGGGAGAAAAAGGTGAGTTACCACCCTCTTAAGGCCTCTTTATCCTCTGTGTTTCTCCCCTGCCTTTCCAAGGCCTCTGTACATGTCTGTTAGGGCTATTTCTCTCTGGCATAGGAGAGAGAGATAACACAGCTCTCTCTGCCACCCCCTCTGGACTGCAGAAGGCAAAAAAAGCATCTAACCCTCTCAAGAAGGCACTTTGCAGGCTTCCTAAGTGTCATCAACAATGTCTAGCTTTCCTCTTACAAATTCTTCTGAGAGGAAACTATCCCTACAGTTATGGAGCCCAAAAGTTGGGATCATGGGTAGTTTTATCTAATGTAACTCACCCTTGCTGTATTCACAACAGCTTGTTAAAGACATAAAACACTTCCACATCCTGCAGTGAACCGTGGAACGTTTCTGTATATTTAGTTATTTGTTGTTAACTTCAGCTCTGTCATCATGCATTCAAAATCCTATATACCATCTAAATACTTTAAGACCTCAAATGATAATTGGAGTCACACTAATTTGAATCCCATTAGATGAAAATTCTTTTAGTTTTTTTGTTTTGAACATTTACCTCTTTTCTGTTCCTCATTTAATTTAAAACTTGATGACTCCTTGTTTTTTACTACTTAATAACAATGCTGATGATGTTATTTTTAGTTTTACTATTAATGTTTCTTGTCTTCAGATACTTTGTAGCTCAGATTTTGATGTGGAAGTTAAATGCTTTAAAAAACATCTATGGAACAACACTTCCTTAAAGCCATATACTCAGGCAGCATTGAATAAGTTTAGAGGGTAAAAATCAAGCAACAAATCTATTTTTAAAGCTCTTTTTGTTAGTCTGATCAATATTCAACTCTACAGCCTGGAAATGCAACAGGCATTTAGTAGCTGGAAGGAAAGGCTGTCTTTTTTACTCATAATTGCTGCCTTTCTAAAAAGTAATGAATTTCTATATGTCAAATACCAGTATCCTGATTAGAAACCATGCTCCAGAGCTTGAAGTAGTTTTAAATAGGGAAAAAACACCCACATATTTGTCTGAATATAGATAATTAATCATTGTAATTTCTTATACACTATTTAACTGGTATAAAAAGATATGTTTACCTGGATTTCTCAAAATATTTTCCCATGATGATTCTGTATTTGGGGAGAACATTTCATAGGAAGGTAAACTGATATGTTCACCAATAGGTAGATAGAGTTGAAATCTTTCAGTTAGAATTATTCTTTTCAAAATACCCTTTATTTTTGTTAGATTAGAGCTTGTAGCCCAAATTCTTATCTTGTACCAATATAATTTAGGTTATTCAAGTTTCACATTAATATTAACTGGAGCACTTCATGGCTTATTATTATTAGATAAGGTTAAGACAGTCCATTAGAAATATAATTTGTAAAGTTAATTGTTGAAGTGGAAATACTTTATACATGACATCAGTCTTAGAGCAAATTTCATAGCAGAGTTTAATATTGCATTTAAGATTTTTTGTGTGAAAAAATGAAATTGATAAATGTTTGGAGAAGAATTTTATATGTTTTATTAAAATGAGAAAAGAGTTGTGTGCAATGTATGCTTAATTGACTAAGAAAATAATAGCAGTCATGACAAAATTTTAGTCACACTTAAGTTCCATAGGAAACTTAGGGAGCATTGTCAAGTTATTTCAGCATCCCAAACATATGCGCAAGTGACTTCTCAGTGGGTTCCTCAAAAACTAATATATTTTTTAAAAATAACAATTATCCTAGCTTATCTCAGAACTTTTCAAAGAAAAAGGATTGGTTTTGTGTGGGATGCTCAGTGTATGGCTGCTTCTCCCAGCACATAATGGGAACACATTCTCTCATTTGACAGATGGAAGAAAGATGTTCACTGAGAGCAGCTTTCTTCTGGCTTCAGAGCTATTCTTAAAGCAGCTTGTTCCTTCCTGCATAGAGAGGTCTCAGTACAAAGCAAGTTTGGGAATAGCAGTGGTGTGCAGGCAGCCAGCCTCTTTCTTGGGTGCTTTGCAGAACTAGACAAGAAGTAGGATTTGATCAGGCTATGAGTACATGCTGTCTGTGAGTGGTGTTATATGAATGGTAAAGCTGTGCTTCCAAAAAGTGCTGGACTTATTACTCATATTTAGCACTCTTCTGTGCAAGCACAGTAAGTCTGGCATTTAGGAAAACAGAACTACTGTGCATATGCTCATTAACTATGCTGTGTATGTAACAGAGAAAGACCACATCATGTGTTTGCTGTTGCTATATTGCTATTCGCTTAGACACCCCAGAGCTCAGTAAGCTGATTTCAATCCTGGTGTTTAATAATCTCCCATTTAGCACTTCCATTCCTAAAGACAGTTTCCAAACTAGGAGATGCTGCAAAATGATGTCATAATGTTTATCACCCTTTCTGACTGTGACTCCTTGCTTCTGGTCTGCTGGAAGTGAAGATGAAAAACAGGGGTCAAAGGAAGTGCTTTCTACCCTGCTGTTTTCCCTCCTTCTTGTGCCTCTGGGATTTACTTTCCTGGTTTTTAAGGAGACCGCTCACATGCTCATTACACTACTTGCAAGACCTTTAACCATAAGGACAGAAAAAAAGTGTTAGAATCCAGCATAACACATGAATTTTTTAACTCTGAAATACAAATGTGTAGTCTAAATTATTTAAGTAATGCAGCACAATAGGAGTGGATCAGTAACACAAAGCAGTTAGATGTATGCATGCTGTAGTTCAAGGTGTTTAGTTCAGATTAGCTTTAGACTGGTTCCATAGACCAAATACCTCCTCTAGGCATGTGCTTCAAAACTGCCTGATGAAAGGAGTACCACAAACATTTTCCTTCTTAACTGAGCCTATCAGTGAGCCACTCTAGACATGACATGCTGTCATTTATCTGTATCGTGTAGATAACAATAGCATGCTGCTGGTCCTGCCACCACTGCCCATACAATGTCTTACTTACCTTCTTGTTTCTTTTATACTTTCTTATTTGTGA